CTTTAATATTGTGTGTATGCTAGAAATGAATTCTATTCGTAGCGGGCCGGATGTGAATTGCTAGAAGACAATTTGAAGCTACCTTGTAATTCAGACTGTTCGAAAGCAATTTAAATTCTCTCTCGGAAGCAAATTCAAATTGCTTTTGCAGATTCGCGTCGTATCGTGTTTGCATTGCATCTTGTACCGTGCTGCCTGCTCTTCATCTTCGCAATCTATCTCCCTACGCACGAGACATTTTTCTTCGCTGGCTCTACTGACTTTAATTCCCAGCGTTAATTTCATTTACACTCGCGCTCCCGTTAAACGCACAGTGTTAAAATTTAATCAAATCTTTGATACACCTGACGCGATCAATTTTTCTGACAATTTCATGCGGGAGTGAAAGGAAGGGTAATTCTTACCGAGCAAACGAGAGCAAACAAAATGAAAATGAAATAAATCAGAGTTTGTTCTTTGTTGGTGACTTCGTGCATTTACAGCGAGATACATAAATATCGAGTGCGTATACCCTCTACAACATTTAGTACACCAATTGATCAACGTTCCACTTTGTAAATTGTACTTTGAAAAGTAAGATCTCGGTAGAAAGTTCCTGTGATCTTACATATTTTTACAAAAAATACGAACTCGCGCGGAGAGGCAAAGACATCGGCAGGAGGCTTAAAATCGTGCGAGGTCGCGTTTTACGGTGAACTGCACTTTCGATGTAGACAGCGAGCCAAGAAGCGGGAGCCAAGCGTGGGTACCGGAATGCGAAAGAATGCGGGGGCGATGATGTCTGGCCGACTCATTACAACAGTCCCGGAAAGTCTCGGGCAGAACCGTAAGCGGTTGAACTGAGCATGAAACGATAAATAAAAGGTGCAAAGAGACGTAGGAAGAAGAGACGTAACAACAGGAAGAGTGCGTCCTTCGAATGCGGAACCGCGTCGTGTTTATCGGCTGGCGGGATATCAAGCACCGTAGAAAAACACGGACAACTCCCGATGGAACGTAGAACAAAATCATTACGTCTCTCGGCGATGATCGAAAGAAGCGTACATACATCGCGTCGCGCCGACACGTACGGTTCTCGTAATTTTTCTTTCGCTCTCTCTCTTTTTCTCCCGTTCCTAGATGTTAAGAACAGCGGGAAAGAAAAAAAAAAACGAACGTACAACACTGTGCATTTTACACGCGCGTAGTTCGTACGTTTTAGCTTCGTTGAAAAAGTTTGACGAATTTGATAATATTTGATGAAACTTAAAAATCGACGAAAGTTCGAGGAATTTTATAATTAAAACTAAAAGATTCTTGTGGATTGAAGAGTGATGAGCATTCGCGAGAAAAATTACACGTAACTCATGGATCACTTATGTCTTAGAATTTTATAAAAATAATCAACGGATAGAAACAACGTAATGATCGTTAATTTCAACAATTCAGTGTAACATTGATTACAGTAACATCAGCTTAATACCAGAAAGTCATTTAAATTACGTGTAAAATAAATATTAGTTTATTAGTCTACTGATTTCATTTCCTAGTGTCTGGCATGGAACGGTACATTCTACTGATCCAATTAGTCCCCATTTAATTTTTTTACAATCACATTTTGACTCGTTACAATTCATTTATTACATAAATTGAAATTATATACTCTCAATTATTTAACTCTCGATTGAACGATATATTTTTACAGTCGTTATAATCCTGCTACGGATCTATCATTAACACGAGAAACAATAATTCTCAGTTCAACATATAACATTTTTAATTATTACAATCACCTTGCGAATCGTTACACGAGAATTCATCAGAAACCACGCTTCTTTCTTTCCCAACCAACGCACGAAACGAATTATTTACATCGGGAAGCAACGCGATTCGATCTCCGAAGGACCGAAATCATCGTCGTGTGTCATAAACGTTACACGCTTCCGCGAGAATGATAGGTTAAAATAATTTCGAGTAACGGAAAGTACCGAGGGGCGGGGGGGAGGAAGAAGGAGGGACGCGTTAAGTAGCTGATGCAGCGAGCGAACACGTTGTCGATGGCTACCTGCAACGCCTATGTTTCATTCTCTACCGCGTCGGTATGGCTTTCAGGAGGAAACATCAGATTCCGTTGGCTTATCTCGTGACAGACGCGCGTTATTGTACCGCGCTGAATGACAGCAGAACGAGAGAGTTTACATGTGCCATCTTGACGGAAGGAAGCAGCATTCGTTCCGATGTAACGCACGAACGACAGGTGATAGCAATGGAGCTTCTATTTCCGCATCCGCTATCAATAATCAGCTTTACGACGAGCAAACGATCCAATATATCGTAAAGGGGACTGTTTTCGGATAATGTCTACTGTTTCAGCTTGTTCCGTCGTTATACGATAATGCTAGCCGAATGATGAGAGTCTTTTTTTTTTTTTGCTTCTTTCCGTTCGTGTTGTGAAATAAATCGAATTGGATTGTACCGCGGATATTTTTGTTACGGATTGAAGGATATTTGAGAAAAAGGGTGGGTTGATTAAGCTTCATTTTGAGAAGAAGAGGGAAAAGCTGATTATTAATTCTAGTTTCAGAATTACCAAGATATACTCGTACTAACAAATTAGCAAATCTGTTAACGGGAAGAAGAGGAAGAGAGAACACGATTGTACCTAACAAAGAGAAATTTTAAATACCACGTTTAAGCCAGTATGTGGTAGATAACGAAAAAGGAACTGCCAAGGAACTTCGCGATTGAATATGCATGCTCGCAATTAGCAAAAGCAAGCAACCTTTCGAAATGGCTTTAACTCTCTCAGGCGTGCAAACATCCTCCACCGAATAATAAGAAATAAATCGCTATTTAAGCTGCGCTGTGTGAAATAAGCGTAACTCCGTCCAATCAGATTTCGAAGGTTTTCAAATTATTTCATCTCCTTATCTGCGGATATGAAACATACGTAAATAAATATGTTTGCGTGGGAGTCCCACAATCTCCGTCCTTATCAGAAAACCGCTTGCGAAACGCAATAAAAATTCTAATTAACGCGACTGTTGGGTTCCTTGAAATTTTACACCGTCCTCTCTCGCACGTTTATCACGATGTAAGTAGTATGTAACGTCATTCGGGGAACAATCGTAGGATGCCGTGGGTGGTTCGGCGTAACACTTTTATTTGTTTCGAGGGAACGAGAAAGAAACGTAATAAAAAGAAACGCGCGCGTCCTCGTTGAGAGACCATACGCACACGATGCTTCCGAGGAAGCGAGCGCAGCAACAATAGCTGTATATTATACCGATAAGGTGGAGGGGATAAGGTGTAATCCTCTTACACGTCTATAGCCTTCGTAGTTCAACAATGAACTCATATTCTCATGTTTTCTACGAGTCTTCCCACCTTCGTGGTTATTGAACCAGACTTCCATAGCTTCGAACCATCCGTATTCCTCTCGCGGAATCTGGTATACGTGCCAATCGTCACCGCTGAACACACTATTCGTACCATGTTAATGATTCAGTGGCGCGAGGGGAGCCAACTTTCTCACAGAGAACCGAGAAAGTTGAAAGAAAGAAAGCATTCGTCTGATTTTGATGTAAGAGAGAAAAATGATATCGAACAAAGAGTGACAGTTATTACGAAGTGAGTTATGCAAGATGCTTTCAATCTAGTGGAATTTTGTTCGTGAGAACCAGAGATATTCGCCGAAGAAACTATGAACATTATTTCGTTTCGGAAATTATAATAATTCTATGTGAGGTAATTTACCTGGATCGGATATTTGTTCGGGATACAGTGGCAAAGTTTTACCATTGAAACGAGGATTTGGATGTGAAAATAAAACGCAGGAATTGGAATATTTACAATGCTTCGAATAAATCGATATTAATACACACACGCACACAAAAATGGAATTAAACTTATTTAACAATTCATCTCAGTTTTATAGAGTCAGAATAAAACTTTGTATCGTAGATTTAAACGCGCGAGAATTTAATCCACTGCCGATCGAAACGAAGAGGAGTAAAATGAAATACAAATACAACGTGATGAATTTCGCTTTAAACTTTTTTAATCAACAATGTGATTTATGCAACTTCCCGCCGGATTTCGTTCGACTATGAACGCGGACAAACGGCCAACGGTGAAAATAAAGATATGCCATGCGGTTGAATTAAACCGCAAATCGTTGGAAATCAGGATTTTCAGAAATTCGCCTCGTTCGAAACTGGAATAGTGTATCAGCACTATGTGACCAGCATGAACTTCCCCAAGGATTACGACGCCGCAAGGCAAACGCGTTACCGGAAGCTCCGAAAGCAATCCAAGAGACCACACACCACTGATACATCGACGAATTTATACCGCACACCGTCGAATGAAAACGGACAAATTTCACCCTCTGCTTTCTTCTTGGCGTTTCCACTCTCCTTCGCGTTTTCACTGGCGGCAGCGCCAGCCATAGGAAAGTACATAGCCGTGGAAGCGAGTAAATCACAACCGTATACAAACACGCGAGCACATACTTCGGAAGTTAAGCTCGCACAGAATAGGATTTCAGCTGAATCTAGCTGGAGAATGATGGGTACGCGGCAAGTTGATACGAAGGGAAGACAACGAGGAATCGGCAACTCTATTCTGGCATATTTCATCTCTGTAGCCATGCTTGTTTCAAACACGGATTGGTTGATAGGAAATTGTTTTTGAAGTAGGAATTGATTTAATAGATTGGCCTGGAATTCTACGTGTACCGTGCGAAAATAATTTGTAATAATAATCTATTTTGGAGGAAGTGCGCACACGCCCTTGCGTTTCATTTCATTTAAATATTAGTTAATTCAATTTTAATTAATTTACGTCTTGTAGTTAATTTGTATTTGAAAATCGCCGTGGTACTGGTTAATTCTCGAAGATTCTCTTCAATGTAGTAACTGACTTGACAAATCAAAGTAAAATTTTACAATGCTTTCAAGTTATTCTCCAGCTACTCAGAGTTATTTAACGTACGTTAAAGAAGTGTGAAATGTTCTAAAATGAGAAGAACGCGAAACCCACGACAAATGGAATATTCTTCATATTTGTATTCCGGTTTCTTACATTTGTTTTCAATAGGAACAGTTTCAATAGGATGGATTCATATCAGAAAAGAATGCGAAGAAAGGGACGAAAGGAGAGAAAAGAAGGGTTATCAAAGGAGTTACTTACTTCACCGACTTTCTTCAAACGAAACTTTGTCACAATGGAGTAACTCGAACTATGCAGAACGTACATACTTATTTTTCACTTATTTGTAGTCCGTTTATTCTCGGTTGAACCACTTGGATTCCCCGAATTTTTGTATTTAAAATTTAGTTGTACTTAGGAATTATCGTGACAACGGAAAATATCGTTGCAAACAATTAAAATAGCTTGTAACTTTGAAGCAGTAAACTTCCTTCTCGGAGACAGGGGAACAATAGCGTGATATAAATTAAATTACTACCTTAGAAGCACGCATCCACAACGAGAAAATAAATCTCTACAATTAGTGTATGTATTCTCTACCGAAACACCTGAAAATACCCATTACGAAGCAGATAAAACGTCCATTCTTTCGAGAGATTTGCGTGTAGTGAAAAACCACTTGAAACAAATTCACTAATCGTTGAACATGAAAGATTTTAATAGCGAGTTCGAACTGAAGGATATTAAAATATTTATACACTGCAATTATATTTCGAAATTAAATTTCAATTTTTTAGTTAAAGATAAGCAAATTAATTAGCAAGCTTTTTCAATTTAGCAAATTGAGTAAAATCTTTACAAATCATGAATTACGGATTTTTTCGACTCGATATCTTGATATTGAAATCAACTCGAACGTATCATGAAAAAATTTTTAGGATAACATTTCACTTAAGAATTACTCGAATACTCGTATTACGAAGCATGAGTTCTATGCAGAAAATCGATGAAATTGTTAACAATTTTGGAAGTCAGGAATGTTAATAACACGTAAAACCTCTCGAAAGTATTTCGCGTGTGCACCGCGCCGTTTGGAATTCATACTTAATGGACGTATACTAAATTTGGTCGAAATTAGTATTAAATTGGTTTTTAAAACATTTTTGCTCGCCAGCCATGAAAGCAACCAAAGGAGTCAAATATCCCATTAACGAGGAAAAATCGTATAGGCTAAAAGCTCCCTTGTACCTTCCCCGTTTTATTATTCCCCCGAATACTCGATATATCGTACAACATACATGGACGTACAAGCACGTGCGAACAGCAATCGAGTGACTGTATTAAAAAAAAAAAAAAAAAA